TTTATTTAATTAAATAATAAAAAATTACAAAAATAATATGAAAACAAAAAATTAAAAGCATAGAGAAAAAAAATTAAGTCATCATTTTTAGTGGTTTCTCCAATCTGAAGTATGTCTACTTACCAAACTTCCTTACACGAGAGTTGAATTTGCTAAAATCCTTTTACTTATGGGTGCAAAATCAAACCAGTACAAATTCTTGTTTGCAGATTTAGAAAAGGAAGAAGAGAGGCACCATATGACACGGTGTAACAAATTGAGATAGAATAGAATGGTATACGGTGTAAAACAAATGAGTGGATGGTACAGGCAAGCTTCCAACGTGCAGGAAATAGTCGGCTAAAACCAACATTTAACCCCTCACCTTATAAAATTAGTAGGTTTTAGCTCCTAACTTTATAATATAATACTTTTAGTCTTTTACCTTACAAAATTGGTAGATTTTAACCTCTCACCTTATAAAGTTAGTAGTTTTTAGCCCCTTATCTGTACGAATTAAAGAAAATAGTCATTATTTAACATCCGGTTATAATATTTTATTAGTTTTGTTAGTTGATTGTCAGTTTTGTTAATTAACTGTCAGTTTTGTTAACTGATTGTTAGTTTTATTAGTTGACTGTTAGTATCCGTTAGTATTCCGTTAATGGAATTAACAAATAAAATTGAATTTAAATTTCATATTTTTTATAACGAAATGCTAATGGATGTTAACAGTCAACTAACAAAACTAACAAAACGTTACAACTTAATATTAAGTTAGGGTTATTTTCTTCAATTCATATCAGTGAGGGGCTAAAAATATCATAATATAACGTAAAAGGTTAAAACCTACCAATTTTGTAAAGTGAGGGGCTAAAACTTATCAACTTTGTAAAATAAATGGCTAAAAATATCATAATATAAGATAAGAAGATAAAATTTACCAATTTTATAAGGTGAGAGGTTAAAACTTACCAATTTTGTAAGATAAAGAGCTAAAACTGTCATCTTATAAAGTAAGAAGTTAAAACTTATCAACTATATAAAGTAAGAGATTAAATGTTGATTTTTGTTGAAATAGCCATACTGGCATGGACCCAACAAATATTTTGACCTTGCTGACATTAACAGTTAAATATTAAATAATTCAAATTAGTCAATAATTGAAGGTGATATTTATTTTTATATTTTTTTAAACAAATTTATCTCTGTTCTCCTATTTAAGGATAAATGATGATTGTAATTATTAATTTATGATTAATTAAAAATTAATATTTATTAGTTACTATTAAAATAAATTTATAACATAATATTTTTCAATATTATAATTAATTAATATTAAAAAAAACCTAAAAAAATAATATTTATAAAAGACTGATTTTGTGTGTGGCACAACCATGACACCTAC